TACAGCAAACAGACGCACACACATGCATACATATACAGTTCAAATGTTTGTTTGCGTGTTTTGGCAACGCATTTGCGTGAATTTATACACATATATATATTTTTTCTCATTTAACTCTTGTCGCCGCGTTGTAATCATTAATGAATTATTGTTACACAATGTGGCCGTGTCGCGTTGCACGCTTGTCCAAGCACATGCCAAAGGACATAATACACATATGTACATATGTATTTCTGAATTTAATATGTTTAGTACCCCCAAATATGTTGCCATGACTTTAGATCCTTGAAATAAACATACATTCATTCTAGACAAGTACGAGGTTAACTCATGAAGTATCGTCCTTAGAGCTTAGCGGTTGATGGATTTTTAATTTTTTATCAAATACACACTCGGCGGTTTGAGCTTTAATGCAGAATAAAGTAAAACCTCTCCAAAACCAAGAACGTTAGTGCGCAATTAGAAAATCAGAGGTAACCCAGTTATACCAACGAAAAACTGAGTGTCGAACACCCGCTTCCGCTTACTCCGGAATGCCTACTCTTTCCATGCTCGTTGGATGGTTTGCTGTAAGGGGCATCCGACTGCATCGACCGTTTATTTTCCCCTACCCATATTCTCGGCCCTCGAAAGATCTCAGCTTGGTAGGTGAGCAAAGAACTAGTATGATGAACACAAAAGCGCAGGCCTTGGATCCCTGCACGGGAGAAAATGCGGCTGCTGGACACGGCCTCTTTAGGAGTCTCATCTACGGAGCGAAAAGAGCTCACACGCTCCACTCTTCCTAAACTCCTTCGGACTTTCAGACCTGCAAGAACCACTGCTAAGCTCCAAAAAGTAAAATACCTCCTAATTGCAGGTGACTAGATCAAGGGACCTGATCCATCTAGATCGATTCACCATTAACGGCGTAGTGCTCGACGCTCCGTCTGTTCATTGACTGTCGGGCTTACGTAGCAACGGCTGTTCGTACATCTCAGAAGGTTGAGAAATGCTCCAGAGCGATATCACAATGGGCCTTCAGGCCTATGTGGGCTGGTCGATCTGATTAGCTTAACTCAAGTCTTACATTCGGCGGACTTGACTTTTCCTACCGCAGGACGATCGCTTTCAGAAAATTGTTTGAATTATAAGTCATCTCCAAACTTGAACTAATAATTCTGCGCCGCGTGCTTTGAGAAAGGCTGGGTCTCGGAATTTTTGGACTCTACTGCTGGATGGTCTATCAAAGTTAGCTGTCGACAAAGTTATGGACCTAAAGAGATTCATTAGAGAATCAAAATGGGTGGATAGTTTTTATGGCATGAATCCGACTAGGAAGATCGGTAACCACTACAACCTTACCTAACGTGTAGGACTTTTTCTAATGGGGAGGCACACTGGGAGTTTGGGCGTGCTCTCAAACGATTTTTGCAGAGGTTGTAGAGACGTGAAACTTTAAGACACTTCCTTTGCTTATGCTTAGGAGTGGGCTAAAGAGTCGAAAGACGGCAAACTGCAGATACGATAGCAAAAAGGCGGAAGCAATGATACGACCGATTGCGCTATTCCGCCTTGTCTACGTTCGACCGATCTTGAACCACACTGAAGGCAACTTATAATATGATTGAGATTAGGCTTTTCTGTCATAGCAATGCTCATAACTTTAAACTGGATATAACCCCCAGGAGCGAATTTAGATGGTCAGTAAAAGCTCGAAGGACTTGGTAGTGGTCATAAATGATGTTAATCGATATTTTAAGGTCCTAAGTAACTTTGTCTTCAGACATTTCGTAGATCGGCCAACTATTTGCATCACAAGTCTCTGTTTAACACATTTTCTCATTCCTGTAAAAATATATTTTACTAAAACGAGTTCACGCTGTTGTCTTCATCTTTCTTCCTTACGCTCTCTGGCAACTATTTGAATACACCAAGTGCAGCCGGCTTCCTTTTTAACCAATTTTCCCATTGGAGTGGTTAGCCTTTTTTTCCTCTGCTTCAGCCAGGGGTTACTGCATTGAATGGGTACGAAGCTGGAGTATTGTCCTCCATCCGTAGGACTACATCAGCACATCCCCTTCGCCTGAGTTATTCGCCATTTATTATCGTTCTCATAAACAGCAAAACGTGGATGATTCCCAGCGTGGCTGTCGCGGGTACTAAGCCGATGATGAGCGTACTGCTTGTGGATACTTTGTCTTGCCATTGTTTAAAGCTTGATTCTGCAGCTTTGCTTGTCTCCATGTTGGCGAAAGTAAACCTAAGGGCGGGGTTTTGAAGGGGTTTCCGATATGAGCTCTTCAGGAATCTAAATTCGGTCTACTTTTTGAACAGACCTCGTATAAGTATATAACAAAATTCCTTAAATCTTATAACTATTTGATATGTGGGAGGTTTCGGGACACATATGTAGCTCATATACACACATACATACGTACATATAAATATTTATGCATTTAAAAACATTTGTGCGTGTTAATTTTTGGGTGGGGTTTATTCCCTGGAACAAAAAAATATTAATGAATTTTGCCCCTTTCCCGTTTACCTAATTTCTGTCATTTCGTGGCTGCTGCTCCCTTTGTTTTAATATATTATTAGGTAATACTTAGGTGTCGCTCCCCGCAAAAACTTGCTGCCAAATGTGTTCAACTTCACTTCACTTCACCTCATTTCACTTGGCGGCGCGTCCAACTTCATATTGGCCATTAGTCATGCCTCACATATCAGCTGCGTCCCATCTGCGCTCTGCGGTACAAGTACAAAAAATTTGGTTAATTCTACTACCACATTTGGCGACTATTGCTCTACCACCTCTGTATCTCCCTCTCTCCCTCTCTCACTCCCTCCTCCTGCTTGTGATTTTTCTGTATTCGCTTTGCCAAGTGCGTGGCTTTCATTCTCTCTTCATTAATTGCTTTTATTAAAATGACAAATGTGCAAATGTCATGTGATTTTTGGCCACAACTTTTGATTTATTGGATTATCGCCTTCTAAACGTACGCGTTTTTCTACATTTTAATTACTGAGCTGGAAGGGAAAAAAGTTGATTATTAACTGAACGAGGAATTAGATTAAAAACGTTTGAGTTTGTGATAAAACGCGATAAGAGCATGAGGACGAGTTGCTCAAATATTCTATTGTTCGCTAAGTAATGCCGCACGATTAAAAGTAGACTAACTCAAAACATAATCTCTAAACTGGGTAAGCTTCGTTTGAAGTCTCTCAGATGAGAGAGCAACAAAGTTTGAGGATATATTATATAATGCTTTGAAATATGGATCCAGATCTAATACGTTCTCGGTTGCAATAACCTCATGGATTTCGTATTCAATGATATCTTCAAACATAAGTATTCTCTTCATATGAAGGCGTACAGCCTGGAGTAGAAGTACCGCCATTTTTACAATAAATATTTCGGCTTGAAATAACTATAACTAACTATATTCGACCTTCTCATCCCCATTAAGGCGCAGTAAGCTGTGGCACAAACTCCACTTTTTATTTTACAATCATCTGTAAAAATCCAGTCTTTTGCGCCAGTCATGTCTCTCTACTGTAGCTGATAGTAGCTTCCCGAAAGTCAGGCATGGGATTACGTAATCTATTCATACACTTAGCAATATCGCCATATTACTGTGTCTCCAAGACATGATTTTCAATTTCCTTACAGCGGAAGGAAATGTCAACACCTCCGAGTGTATTTCTGTCAGGAAATGAAGAGCTCCTGATAAAAGACCATCAGCCGTTCGGAGGTGGCTTATTATAAACAATTACATGTGCCTTCATTTGTTGGGAAAACATCAGCTCGGCCAAGAATCGCTTCAGTGGTTACAAAACGAAAATTATATTGTAAGGAAATCGTATTGCCCCGAAGCAGTTACGAATGACCTCTTTTTGCTAGTGTGTTTGCGGGGACTATGATTCAAACAACAGAAAGTGCTGCAGATGGTATTGTATTGAGTTCCCCAATCAAGTTTCGAATACTCCTTCAGTCTATCCAGAAGTATGACTCTGTCCGTAGCCCCTCACCACACTAGATCACCGTATAGGGCCACTGTTACCTGCTTAAGCTAATCGATCTAAGGTGGAGTTTAATACTTACATATGAATAGAGCCAGAGCTGTTTTATCAGCTTTAACCTTAGGTCCGGTATTTTGAAAAAGTCCTAGTTTTAATGTACCCAGGGATCCAAGGGTTGCCTGGAACTTACCGTAGACTGTGACTGAAATGTCGTCCGCTTAAGCTGCTTCACATTCAGAATTCATCAGCAAGCTAGCTACCGCGAAACAGCAAGGGAGAGAGTGTAGTACTCCTATCTGTTTTTTCTACTGTGCACATTCCTCCTGCAACTCAATATGATATGCATCCATCCCTCAGGAATAGTATTGACTTCTACTGTTTCGAGAGTGGACTTTCAACCACATTTTGCTTGATGTGAACATTCACCGGGCGCCACAATGATTTTTAAAGGATATAAAGCTAAGCTGATTGGGTGACAGTCCTAAAGTGTAATGTACAATTGTAAAATAGTTTGTAGTATGCATGGTTACTGAAAACCGGGTTCGATAGGAATAGAAGAAGAGTCGAGCGGGAGCCTTTGAAACGCTAGCTAGCAGTCGGGATGGGGGGAATTCTTGACACTTCAACTTCCACTATTTGCACATAAGCACATAAACGATTATTATAGACTCCCTTGTTTCACAACAAAATAAAAAAATAGAATACAACATCTGCTCTAAGATTAAATGGACCAAGGCCAATCATACAAACAAAAGAAAATCCCCTGTATGATCGGGACATACTGTGAAGAAAACTAAAGAACAAAAAAAAAACAAAGCTACTCGATCAACTGGTTAGCAGAAGAAATATACAATTATATCTTAAAGGCGTTATTAAGATGTGCGCTTCTTTAACCCACCCTACCTTGACTTTGCGATGCGCGAAAATAGTATGCAAAGTCCCTAATCTTCTACTTAACCATATTCCACCATATCACAGTAAAATTCTTAATTTAAGAATTCATATTTGAAATTTAAAAATTTATTCACATTCTTAATATTATGTACAAAATGGAGATAAAATATAGGAAAATTCAAAGTAGACTACTTCAATAAAACATCTTAAAAATATACATTTTGAGCTTTAGATTACTAGAAAAGAAAACTAATTTATGCAAATGTACTGTTTCAAAATAACACAAAAAAACAATAACATGGGTAATGTTAAAGAAAACTAATAAAAAAAAATAACTAGAAATTCAGTACAGGTGAAATTTACTTAAGATGCATGGCAACCATAGGCACTCTCTGTAATTTGCAAATCAGTTGTGCTCTTACATATTTACTCTACCCGCTCCTTCACAGATGAGGTGAGCCGGTGTAGCTAAACTAAAAGATCAGCCGATCGGTGAGCATCCTCTGCTGCGAATAAGCAAGCAGGAGAGTCAATGAATGTAATTACTGTAAGGTAATAAAATTCAATTCTCTCATACAAAAGATTAATACAAAACGTATATGAAAAAAAATTGGTATAATAATTCGTATAAATATTATAGAAGTGCACTTACATTTTCCACTTATGGCATGATGATCGTCGAAGGCCTTCACGAAGATCAGCAATAATGTTGAAGCAGCTAATTAAATGATCATTACAATGTTATGAAATATATACATATGTATGAGAAACTGCATACCCTGAATGCATTAAGTTGCCATACACGTGTGTTTTCTTTTTCTATAGCATAATTAAATTAGTATTATTATTATTGAAAAATTCTTAATCTCTTTACCAAGCTTTAATTATAAAAAAACTTATATTTAAATAATACGTGTACGTTACACATCTATAACTTCATTTAGGTTTACTTTTTACGTTTTAAAGGATAATTCACATATTATAATTTTCTTTGAATTAATACCATTAGTCAAATATTCACTACACGCTCATAAATTTTTGGCATAAATAGCCAATTAATCAAGACGAAAGTTATTTTTCTTATTAATTTAGGCCATACTTCTGCCTTAATCTTCAAAGAGGACAATATTGCAACTGTAGTTGTCCAGAAAGTTGTATTATTGTATTAAATGGTGATCACCAAGTATTTTAACGAGGTGTCTGACCATTTTCACACGTAATAGATGAATTTCTCCGAATCCACGATGAAATGTTGCAACAGTATGGATTCTGAAGAGCTTTATAGAGCTGGTGATGAAATGCAAAGGCCAGATTCGCTGATCGTGGCGAACCAACTTGAGCGTTCCACGTGGTCCTGGTAAGATGATGGTGTAACTCACTTTTAGACACAAAATAGTCTTCGATCTGTTTTATAAAATGGTGATGTTTCCACTTCAAGAGTTAAATAGAAAAGGCCTCTCGTAATCTTTGCAAAATATTATAATGCTTCTGCTTGACATATAGATAAAATGAACTCAGTTGAGAGATGAACCCCAGTGTTGCATTTTTTTGGGAGTTATCATGAAATTTCTCTGTATTATCAGATCACGATAGTTGGTTAAATTTTAGTAAAACAATTTTTAAAATGTTCACTACAAAAGATGCAGGGACCCTGGTGTCAGTGAGTCATTGACCTCTTCCAAGGCACCGGCGAAGTTCAAGATAAATGCGCTCTATAAACAATTGGCGCTAAGGACGAGTAACCAACCCTTTCCGAATTACTCATGGGGCCGAACATGAGCTCTGAACAGAAACTGGTACAATGACAATGACAAACCCTCCTCGCCGGCAATCGAGGGACAATTAAAAGTACTTCCTACCTACAGTTTATACTAAGTCGCCCCGAACGGCCGGTGGTCTTTTACGAAGTGATTTAACTTCATGCCAGAAGTACAATCGGAGGGCTTGACATTTCCTGCCGAGGGGCGACTGGAAATTAATTTTCTATAACTTTGTATGTTTGTCGAACCAGGACTTTTCAAAGGACAGTACGCAATTTTAGCAGCTTAAAAATACTGCACTTCGTTTCAGGAATGCAGTATAGAGAGGTTATCTCTTTCTCACATGCACCTTTTGAAATTTCCATTAAAGACTTTCCATTTAACTACGGAAATGGAAGAATAAAAATTTAATGGACCTTTGTCTGGTTTTAAGCGAACTTGAGACGTTGTTTCCTTTAAGTGACTGTGTCTCCAGAGATTCCATTGACGATAACGACGACCACACCTGTTTAAATTTCAAATTTCAAATTACGGAGAATGTTTACACTTGAAAAGCCTACCCGAGGCGACGAACGCCAAGCGAACATAAGGTGAAGCGACTGAGTAGAGCACGACTATGTTGCGCCACTAACCAAAGCAAATATTGCCACTTAAGGAAGCCAAAAAGACTTTGGAGTCGGCAAAGGATTTATGTACACATATATATTATATATACATATATACATTGTTTGAATGCAACAATGAAATGAAGCTTAGTAGACCGCAGCAGCAGTAAGATGAGGTGAGCTGGTGTCGGTGAGTCCCTCGGTCGGTTGCTCGACGTCTGCGCTGAACGTGTGTCGAAAATAAACAATTTTCATTTAATTACGCTTAAATTTGGTTACCAAACAAACACCGGTAACGGTGTGCAAACAGTAAAAATTTACAAAAACAACAAGAGAATTACGAGTTATAGGAAAAGGCAACAAAACAATGCAGGCAAAATAACAATACAACAATTTGCAATGAGGTGAAATGGAATATATTTTAGTATGTATGAATGTTCATATATATATATATATATGTATGCAGTTATATTGAACAGGCGCAACACTAGCAATAACAATAACAATAATAATAATAACGTCAACAATGCGGCTAACAAATACATACTAATGCATGTATGTATGTAGCGATACGTCAAGCTACGAACCGTCGCGCTCAGCGGCCGGCAACATTTACATTCCACGCACGCATTGCCGACGGTGGCTTTCAGTTTTGGTGGTGCCGCCACCATCGCCTTCGCCGCTGCCGATGAACACGCCGACAAATTGCCAACATACGAGCTTTATGCCACTCGTATTATGCTCCGAGCTGAGGGCGAGGGTTGAAAACTTATTGGTTTGGGTGGTGTTTGGGTCGGCCCGGCTGTCACTGTTGCAAAGTGTATGCGAACTTTTTCTTATAAAAATGTTTCAAAATGCAGCGGCTTACAAATAGAGACATATGCATCCCAGTCGACGAAATGAGAGGACAAAGACGATGTTGAAACACACAAAAATCAAGAGCAATAACAAAGTAAAACTCAAAATTCAACCCAGAATCAATATTGCCAAAGGATAGAAACCAAGCTCTGGAAGCTCCTCATATTACCATCTTACTAAACGGTATAAAAACGGGGACGATGACGTTATCCGCACCAGGAGTTTTCGAAAAAAAGGCTTTAAGGAAGTTTAATGGTACTTAGCTGACTAGCCATGGCGAATACCGCAGCCGACGGAGATATACTGCGACATTGGCATAGTCCGGTTAGTAAAGGGATAGCGGCTACGCTAGCTAAGTCATATCCGGATGGAGGTGAATACTACAGCTTTGAGACTATGCAATGTAGTACCCGCCGGTAAAAACAGAGGAAGAGGAATATCTCAACACCTTTGGAAGGATCAGATGGAGATGGGTTAGTGCGACCGTTCGGGATATTCCAAAATGAAAAAATGGATTATTTAAAATTTGGGGATCCGGAGTTGTTGGAAAAACAACAAGACCCCCTACCTAAATCGCAAGAGCAGCGATGCCTCAAACAAGTTAGTTGCTGTGGTTGCTGGGTGAGCACTCAGTGATAAGCGCTGACACTACTTGAAGTTAATTCTGCAATGAGCTCGGAGTAAAACGTTCCGAAGTGGCAATATCGGTCCGCATTGAAGTTTATGCATTGGCAGAGTAAGCGCTCTAGCGACCACTTTCCATTTATGTCCATGCAGTTGGGATGAAAGTTATTAGAGAAGTAGCCCATTCTCTTACCTCTATCCCTTCTTCTTCGAACAATGGCAAGAGCAGTCTGCTGGCCTTAGATCCATCTTACTAATGAAGAACGATCTCAGCAGGCATTTCGAGGGTGATACCAAAGACGTGTGCTACTAATTTACTATAAATAGGTGATCGAAGTATAAATGGTAAAGGGAAAATGAAGTCTCATCCGATGGACCACTCAATTTATATGCTCCGCGCCGGTCTTCGTGGTATGCATCAAAGAAATCTTTTACGCGGCCATCACTGAACAGTTTGCTTGCTTTTTGGCTCGCTGGGTGGTATGCTATGGTTGGCTTGTGCGAAAATCACTGGGGTGGGCTCAACCAACTACTCAGTACCGCTTATTTGAATGACTTCATTTAGTATGTACAAGCATTAGCGCTGGCGATGGGTTGCATGTAGGTAGACCTGAATGAATGCTTCAATGCTTAACTCAAGCTAAAGTCAAAGGATACTGAACACGTACACAATCATACATACTTTGAATACCGAAGTGTAGTACTCGGGAGCTGGCATTTGCTTGGCTGGCAGCATGTCCATAAGTATGTGCGGATGTGCCTGTGTTTGAAATTGTTTGTCAAAGCCTATTCACATTTATTTTTCTTTAGCTTGTTATATTTTTGAGAGTCACAAGTTGATTGTGTACATTTCATTGCTTCATTTCTTGACGCCCTACAAGTTTGCCTATTCCTCCTCATCAGTATCTGCTCAATTGTTTGCCAGCCCTTTGGTTTCATTTTGCTTGAAAGAAAGTTCAGTTTGTCCGCTAGGAAACTTGGGTGCGACGACGCATTGGAAATGTCAAAACGATAAGAATTGCAATCAAGTGAATAAGGATAAGGAAATGGCGACGAGGTTTCGATAAGAGGAAGAGGAAAACTGAATCAGAAGAGTTGCCATCATAGTTAACTTTATGCGGTCACTAGTTCCTGAGCCGAAAGCAAAAGAAACTGTCGGGCAAAATCGACCGCAAATCAGTGAAGGCACTTGAGTTTCACAACCAATAGCTCACAGGATTGCAGAGCGTAGAGAGAGGGCACTAATTTCTACACACCTACGAGCAGGCCAGTTCCGATCGTTCATTTTTGTTCACTTCATATAGCGCAGCAAACATCTCGATGCATAATTTGAGAGTTTTTTAGTCTCCACGTTTTTACTCGAATTGAAGCGTGCTCTAGAATGGATTTATGAGGATGGAGTACGTTGATGAGTATCCCTTGGCTGTAGTCGCCATATAAAGAGTTAAGTTCTTGTTGAATCGCACATATTGATTTTCGGAAGAACTTTTGAGAGAACCCGCAAAGCTTGGCGCCGTTTGTGACACTGCCATAACATGTACGCTTCAAGATGTACGCTTCAAGAGCTCAGAAAACTGGTATCTAGCCTTATCGTTCCTCTCTTCCATGCTCATGAAGCAACGGGGTTTCATTCGTATCACCATTATTGAATGCCAAATTCAATGTGTACTACTATTCGGAAGTTAAGGTTTTCGGTTCTGGTCGGACCTACAATCAAAATAATAGAAAACTTAATTTTTCTAATTGCGATCGCTCCTCGGCAGCCAATGTCAATCCCTGAGTGAGTGTGCTTGGTTCACTACCTATTCAGACTCATAATCGAAGATTTTCTGCGGCAAGGCTTTAGTTAGTTAGGGTTGCTAATGCTACCAATTTTCAAGGCGCGTAAAAAGCTCTGCGACTACAACTACGTGCTTGGAAGCAAGACTTAAGATCTCTCTTTCTGTCAGAATTGTGACCGACCGATATATTCGAGCTCTCTATATAGAAATCGGTTCACTAAGAAGTAATTTGCCGTGGTTGCTTCCAATACTTGCACATCTCCAATGATGGCAACTCCGCCAAGACATTTCATGTTTTGAAATTGGCCACTGTGTGTGCAGTCGAGTGTAGAACTCGATTGGAACAGCTGAGTGCATGACTTACGCTGGGCGACTGCTACATTATTAGAAAAATTATGCACCCTCAACTCGATCGCATGACGGCAGAGCGGAGTTTGGGCAAGCAAAAGAAGTAAATGAGTGTGCGCTGGTTGAGTTTCACATATCTTTGAGGACCTGGACAACTACATTGTGGCATACGTTACACATGTAAAGCACATATATTGGGCAATGCGCGAGTGTATGTGTGCACTGCCACAGCGAAAGTGCAGCACAATTCAATGAGAGAGTACAAAATCGCAGCGATACACAAAGTCAGGGGTTGCAAAACTCATAGAACCAGGAGGGATGGAAGTGGTGAAGAGGAGTGCATGAATGGATGGATGGTTGAATGTGTAAAGCAGTGGGTGGGCGTGCTGAATAGTTTGCTTCATATGTAGGTATGTATGCATGTAAGCAGTAGCACGCATTGGCAAAGCACTAAATAATTGCCCATATGTGCAGTAATAGTAACAAACACAGTAGCAACAACAACAACTACAACGCCAAAGTAACTAACTGCGGCAGCTTTACATTTGCCACAAACAGCGTAATGGCGGCGGCAAGCAGTAGTAGCAACAGCAGGGTGACAGACTTGTTCTACTGGACGCACTCTTTGCCTCTA